GGCCCTTTCCCACCAGACAGCTCTCCAGCCGCTCCTCCCCACGCCTGCAGCGGTGCCTGGGGTTGTTGTGCCCCAAGTGCAGGACCCGGCACTGAGCCGTGTTGAACCTCATACAGTTGGCCTGGGCCCAACGACCCAGCCTGGCCAGGTCCCTCTGTAGGGGCTTCCTGCCCTCCAGCAGATCGACACTTCCACCCCACTTGGTGCCATCTGCAAACTGACTGAGGGTGCCCTCGATCCCCTCATCCAGATCATCAATGAAGACATTGAATAGGACCGGCCCCAACACTGAGCCCATTCATTCTGATAATGGTGTTTGAAACTACGGATATCCTGTGATAGTTCTTATCTATAAATCCTTAATAGACTGATTTGGGGGCGGGGCTGGTTTTGTGGTTTGTTTTTGTTTGTTTGGTTGGTTGGTTTTTTAATATATGAACTCTGGCTACAGAAAATCTACAATAAGTAGAAGATTTGTTTAGTTTTCAAGTCTGTCCCTGGCCCAGGATTTTAACTGCTGAATAGTGTTAAACCCAAACCTCTCCACGTCTTTGGCTGCAGGAGTCTTCATTTCTTAGTTGGGCAGGGTACATTTTGTTCTTCCTCGGAAAGTTTTTGTTGCACTTGCTGTGTGTGTATGCGCCTTATCCTCACCCCTTTTTTTTAGGAAAAGGCAGTCAGAAGTTGACTTCATTGAAAACAAAGAGCTGGGCTCCAGTAACAAGCTGTGCCTGGGGCTGTGAGTTGGAAAAGGCCTGGGTAGCTTCCTTGGACACTTCATTTTTTGGGGCAGCTGGCTGGCAGCTTCTTGGCTTCTTCATATTCTTGGTGGTGCCAGTTTTATATGTGATAAAAGCCGCTCTCGCTGGAACAGCCTTAACTGTGTTCCTCTTTCTCTCTAGAAGATTAATTACACAATTTTGAAGCTGTCAGTGCAGCATTCCCACAAAGCAATGAACCGCAGCCATCTTCTTTGTGTTTTTTGTTCGGTTTTTTTGTTTGGTTTTTTTTTTATTTACGGAAAGTAAAACATCACGTTGTTGCTTATTTATTATGTAGCGCACAGAAGTTGGGAAGCACGGTTTTGCTCTCGGTTGTCATTGGCTTTGGGTGCACTTTCTACCTCTGCCGTCTTGCTGGCTGGCTAGGAACGTCCGAAATCGAGTTGACATCTTCTGTAAACGTCACAGTCCTCGGTGAGGGGCCGCACTGGGAGCGAGTTGATTTCATGACAGTAGCATTAAGGATCCGTAAAATTCATGTGATGTAAAAAACCACATGTATAGCACTGTGCAAGTAAACGATAAGGATTGTGAATTGTGGTCTTTTTGAGCACAGTTGTTTTTCATAAGAATCAGGCAGTTTTCCTGAAGTATGTGAATGCGTCCCGTGACCATTACAGAAACCTAAAGTCCTAAAAATATAAATGGAGAAGTTTTTGTGTGCGCTGCGAGCGTTGTCGAGGTGCTGTGAGAGGACCTCATCTATCCACAGTGTGGGCGGGAGTGGGTTGGTTCGTGCCTCTCACAGGTTGTGTCCAGGTTTCTGATTTGGTTACCTGTGTGTTCCTGAAAGAATAAACAAACGTGACTTTTTTTTTTTTGTACAAAATAAACATGTTTCTCTTAAATCTTTCCATTTCCTAAAGAAGAGGAGACAAAAGAGGCTCCCATGGCTGAAGGGGAGGAGGAGGAAGACAGCGATGATGACACTGAACCAATTGCGGAATTCAGATTTGTACCTAGCGACAAATCAGCCTGTAAGTGATGAGGGAAATCGCGTTTTAGCTTAAAGTCCTGGCTATATGTGGAAGACATCTCTGGTACAGAGATGCAAATGACTCGATCCTTTAGTGTCCTTCTCTAAGTACTTGATTTCTGTGTGCTGGGAAGAACAAAGCAAATTGTTTTGTCTTGCTTGAAACTGGGTATTTCAAGCAGCTGCTTCTCAAAGAAAATTGCAATGTTTTAAAATAGAGACTTTTAAGGGTAAACAGATGACACAGATAATCTTGTCTATATACATTTGCAGAGAACTTGTGTGGGAAACATCTTTTTAATTACAAGTTCAGTCCTATTTGAGTCGGCAACAGTTTCATTAGGACCATGCTAATGTGGAGCTTACAGTTGGATCCAAGTTTTAAGACCCTTATGTATGAGGTGCTGCAAGGAATCCTGTAGTGGGTAACCACGGACTGAATTGTCCAGGGAGAAGCCTTTATCGTCAGCAAAACGATGGAAAAGTGCTGTTCAGAGGAGAAAGCACCAGGCTGGATGTAGGAAACCTGATTTGTTTCTAGCGTGGCTGCTGGCACGTTGGGCGATGTTTTCAAATATGAGTTCAGTGGTGGTTCTGGTAGAGGAATATTCTTGATCTCTCTGATCGCTCAGTCTGGGATTTCTTGCCTGTAGTTATGGGATATTGTTGGAGAAACGAGGGAGGTTTTTTTCTCGATCTCTGCAGCTCCTGACTGCCCTCACGTATTGTGGGAAATGCTGCCTCTGGTATCCCTGTGTTTTCAGTATCTGGTCATGTCTACACAGGACCGGAGAGTTGGTTATAAATCATCAGCTGTTTCCTTAAATTTCCTAACCTTGAAGCACCGGCTTCTTGATTTTTGACACATGCCAATGGACAAACCATTCAGATGCAGTTTAAGTAGCTGCTTCTAACAGCATCTGAGCTGAAGTTGCCCATTTCCAGCTGGGACGGGAGCCCGGCTGCACAAGCGCAGTTCCTGGGAGCCCCGGTCTCAGCCGGTGGGAGATTGTAGCTCACAGCAGCCAGCTGAAAGCACTGGAAGTTAACTGTTAGCATCTCTTGTTTTAGCCACTTGCCCAGAAGATAATTCTGTTTTGTTCGTACAGTGGAAGCCATGTTTTCAGCGATGTGTGAATGCCAAGCTCTGCACCCAGACCCAGACGACGAAGATTCAGACAATGACTATGAAGGGGAGGAGTACGATGTTGAGGCCCACGGTTCGTAAGAGTTGTTTCTTTTGAAAGATCTACCAGCACTTGGAACTTCTCCTGCAGAATCTGTCATGAGGATGGTTTGGTCTGTTAAGAAGTTCCTTGTCATCTCGCCTAAACATTCTTCATGCCATAGGCACGGTATAAAAACTCAGAATTCTGTAGTTTACCTGTCACGAATCACTGGAATTCAGCAAAAACATTGTTCTTATTCTCGAAGCCCCAAGACGCAAATATCAGCCTTTCCTGTTCCCAGTGGATGTGCTAGGACAAGTTCAGTGCCCACGCTGTGGTGTGGTCAGTTCACATCGCTGTGTATTCTGTAACTGATGTAAGCAGCCTTTTAATCTCAGTCAGTTAATCTGAGCCTAACTCGCCTAGCTGCTGTCCTGTTCCTCCTCCCCTGCTTGATCCAGGCTCCTAAACGCAGGTCTGATAAACCTCAACTTGTTTTTGCAGAGCTACAACAAGGTGACATCCCGACCTTTTACACTTACGAAGAAGGATTGTCGCATTTAACTGCGGAAGGTCAGGCCACTCTGGAGAGGCTGGAAGGCATGTTAGCCCAGTCTGTCAGCAGTCAGTACAACATGGCTGGAGTGAGAACAGAAGACTCGATAAGGGAGTTTGAAGGTAAGAAACGCTTTTGTTTTACTGAAGAATATAGGAAAGCAGTGGTTCTCCAGTCTGGCTAATCCATAAACGCCACGACTGAGCAAGTATCACGCTGTGGGTGATACCTTACTGCCCTGTGTGCATCAACAGCGGTTTTACCTTTGTTCACAACCACAGGATATTAAAATTCCTGTGGCCCTACGGGCAGCGTATCGCCTGCCGTGGATCGAGGGCTGCTGTGTTAAAGAATGAGGACCACTGCGGTAAGAATTCTTGATTCTTACTGGTGTGATTTCCTGGAATAGTGGTAGGGTGAAGTTGATTTAGGATTAAGAAAAATTAAACTCGTCAGTCTGTGCTGGGATTGGGAAGCAATTTCCACTCGAAGCAGGTAATAGCATTTTTCTTGAAAATACCCTAAATTGTAGGTTAATAATTCTCTTTGCAGAGTTCAGTGTGAATTCAGAATCATTGAAATACACTGGAACAGATTTAAAAAAAAAAGCCAACTGCTTTTCTGAAGGATGCTGTCTCTTAATGCTACCAGTTGTTCAAACACGTACTTCAGGAGTAAGGTTTCTTTGTATTGGGGGGAAAAAAAAAAAGTGTCTCTCAAATTTTGCCTTTTCTGCATGCTGTTTTCACTGGAGCAATGTGTTACCGGGGAGAAGAAGAGGGAAGTAGTTTAGCAGTACTGCTTCCTTTTTTGATATAAATCACAGTGTTTTAGTATGGCCTGAAGGATGAAAAATGATGCAGCTGGATTTCTAGCTATCAGCTAGCCTGGAATAGTCAACAGAATAATTAACTAATCTGTTCTGATCCACATGGATGATTTTTTAATCTTTATTTGCTTTGTCAGTTATTCACAGGTTCTCTTTGTTCCACAACTTTGGATAAATGTATATAACGTAAAGATAGCCTTAGGTGATATACTCGTGTTTTAGCAGCGCCCTTCGTTTGAAAATTTTCTCAGGTTTCTGAACCCTAAAATTTTGAAAATGACAATAAATCGAACAGCAGGTATGTCACGTGTCTCAAAGCCATCTCCACTGGTTTTATTTGCCTTCCTAATCTTATTTGTTACGGTACTGCTTCTTGGTTTGCTACAATTATTAATATCCCCAGGGCTGCTCAGTTTCAGAATTCCATTATTCTTTGACATTGTAGCATAGAGCGATTGTTCCTTCTTTCAACTTTATGATGGCTGAGAGCGGTTTCAGAACAGGATCCAGCCTCTTTCTGTTGGAGCATAATTAAAGCTGTTAAAAGGAATCATGCCATTTGTCACACCGCAACTTCATTTAAAAAATGAAATCGTTTAAATCCGGTATTTAAGTCTTTTAATAAGATGGGGTGAGACGAGGTTGTAGGAAGCGGTGACGTCTTTAAGTGACTGACTGATAGAGCTGGAACAAATCCACAAACTTGCGAGCGCATCAGTTTCCTTAGGCCGCGGTGAGAAGTTCAGCAAAGGAGTTTTCTGCTCTGGCCGTCTCTTGTCAACAGAGGGCACTCGCTTTCCGCTGTGAGATACCATCCTCCGCGGTGTTACGCAGCGTTGGCTGTTGTTTTTCAGATGGGATGGAGGTGGACATCGCACCGGTAGTTGCGGGGCAGTTTGAAGACGCAGAAGTTGATCACTGAGGAGGACGTACGCTGCTGTAAGTTCTGTCTTCCAACAGCGATGCTTTTCCGTCCTGCAGAGCCTTCCGTCTCTGTCATTTGTGTAACGCAAATGATCCGAGATCTCCTACGGGAAGTATCTTGTGACATCAGGATGATGATGATTTAGAGAAGGAAAAGGTAGCTGTAGTTATCACAAGTACGGAAAGATGTTTGATGATCTGTCCAAAATTGCCTGTCGGCGTAAAGCATCACGCCGCGTGGGTAACCTGCGAGGACGTGGCTGTCTGGAAGACAGGTCAGCCATTTGGTAAATTAAGAATTGTCTGATCTCAGAGGCTCTTGGATGCCGGTATTTGAACGCTGGAGCCATCGCTGGGAAGTTACTGTCCTTAGCGTCTGTTATTTCGCCCTTAGTGCGCAAGATTTCCCAGGCCTTTCAAGGGGGCAGAACGCTTCACAGCGCCGCAAGTCCATCTCTTCCTTCACTGTAAGTGGAGCCGGAACAGTTCCCGGTAAAGTTACCGAGCAATCCGGATGGGATTGTTGTCAGAAGCGCACAACTTAGAGACAACACCCCGCTTAGGTGGTTGTGCCAACGTGCTTTCTTGCCTACCATCACCCCTACTGCTTTTCTCCTGTCAGCGGCATTACAAGATGTGCCAGCGTTTCCTCGCTGGCGCTGGGTGGGAGAGGAGGAGCAGCTTATTCTGGGGCTGCGTCTGCAGAGCCGCGCAGGCACAGCGGGGTTGCGATTCCACCCCTGCTTCAGCGGCGCTCGCTAGCGCACGGTTTGCGCGTGCCGCGTGAGCGGCGGTGCGTTGTCCCGCTTCTCCCGCCTCGCTGGGAAGTGAGACTGCCAGCTCTCGCCTTAACGTGAGCGCAGAGCTATCCCGCTTGAAATGCCGGAGAAAACAGTTGCGGGGCGGACAGCCAAAAGCTCAGGGGAGAAAAAAGGAAAGGGGCAGGGGAGGAAAGGGCCACAAATCAGGAGACGACACGCTGAAAATAAATCAGTGGAAATGGGTCAGAAGTAGTTGGTTGGGGATCGCAGTGTCGCTGAGAAAGAGGCTGCAGTCCCTGAGAAAGGCTGTTGGGGAGGTGGGGTGCGCATCTGCTCGCCGCCGCCGGTGCTTGTTTTACTTTGCTGCTGTTGATGCTCCTGCAGTTCTGAAAGTCTGTGAGTAGCCCAGTGTTCACTCACTGATCGCAACCACTGCCACTGGTCCTGAATTAGTATTCGTTGTTCGGTGTAAGAGCTCAAGCTTTTCTTCAGTTGCTCTTCTTGCCCTGGGAAAGACTTTGCAGTAGAGAGAGGAGTTCTTCCAAAAAAAGTCAAGATCCTGGTTGCCCCACCACTGGACGGTTATCTTATTTGATAAAGGACACATTTTAAAATTAGGGAAAACTCTTCAGCTGTAGATGAAGTGCCTGTTAGTTAGTGAATGGAAAGCTTGGCTCTGATGACTCCATCTCCAAGATGATTTTGGTCCGTGGTTTATAAAAAGATACTAAAAAACCAAAAATTGTGCTGTTGAAAATTGAAATTTGAATGCTTATTGTCCTGGTTTAAACTTGAGCAGAATTAAGGAGAGTTAGTGGCTGGTAGCAGATCTCTAAGGAGCCTGAAAGTGCTGGTGGAAGTGGTGCTGACTGATCTTCTAGCAAAGCGCAAAACACACTCCGTAAGAAATAGTTTTGGTCAGTGGAATTCTTCCTGCTCCTTACTCCGTGCCTTCCACGGTGCGGCAGGTGGCTGGGGGAGATTAATGCAGTGAGAGGTGGCTGGGTAGGGAGTCCTTCTGTCCTTCTGCTTGCGCTGCTCAGAGCTGAGGAGCTGATCCCCGTCAGGGCAGATCAAGCGATCTGCACGTGCGGCGTCAAGCGTGGCAATGACGTCACTCCAGGTAGCAGTCTGGGAGCTGATGCGCTTTTTTAAAGTAACCACCAGCCTGAGTGCGGTGATGTAATTTAAGTTCAAAAACCGAGGATACACGGCAGCAATAAACAAGTGATGAGCAGCTCTTGCAGGTCTGTGCTCATCGCCCTGCTCACAAGCCTGAGCAGGAGGGCGGCACGGTCCTACGCTCTGAAAAGAGGGGCAGAGAGGGAACACGCTGTGATCTTCTCGGTACTCTGTGGAGCACCTCAGCCCTTTTAACCTTCTGAACTGCAAAAACGATCTACAGGAACATCTCGTTGGTGATCCTTTAGAGAGCAACGCGCCGCCCTGCCTCTAAAGCGCTGCCCTTGTGGGAGGCTCATGTTGCATGTCACTGCTCGTTACCCAAATGAGATGTGACAGTTGCCCGCCGAAGCTCCTGGAGGACTTGCTGACAGTCGATGTGGGACGTTTCCGCTGGTCTTGTAATAAGCGGCGGTTTGTCTGTCCGCATCACGAGGTTGCAGCAATTGTTTCGAAGCAACCGGCGTGTCCGCGTGGAGCGGTGCGGCGGGGTCTTCCAGGGCACGGGCGTACAACTGCGGATTTTAAGCGCGTGCTGTCCCTAGCTGACCTCGGTTTAGAGCCGCTGCCAGCGGCAGAGATGCTCAGCCCTTCTGAAAATGAGAGGGTTTGCAGTCAAGTGCTGTCCTCTGCGACTGCAAACAACGGACAGCCACTACTTTGTAAAGATGAAGTTTTTATATTAATGCCAATTACGTAAACTTGGTGTCTTGTATCTTTCAGATTCTTCTTGTGGCACTTCCAGAATAAGCTGTAAAACCGAAGGCATTGCAGTGACTATCGGGAGTTAACCTTTCTTTTAATGACCTAAGCTTAGACATCTAGGTCTATAAATGCTTTTATAGATGTTTAAAACAGGGTTTGACATTCGTGACCACTATGGGGTTATTTAAAAAAACAAAACAAAACGAAACAAAAAAACAATAAAACCTCTTGCATCTAACACTTGAATGGGGCTAATCAGGGGTTGTTTCAAAGGAGCCTTTGTAGGAGTTCTAGGACTTCAGAAATGGAACTGTAAGTAGAACAGAATTTTAGATTGTCCTAGAATTTTCCATATTTTTGTACCTGTTCATTGTGTCAGTGGAGTAGAATGGAAATAGAAATGTTAAAAAGTTCGACTAAAAGGAAATAGGGTTGGCTAAGGATTAAAAGCAAAGCTAAATTTAATGCCCCTCAAGTAACTGCTTTATCAGTTCAGTGCTATCCCTTGCGTTTCTCCGAGAGCAGAGTTTGGGTGGTAAAGGAGACGGAATAAAGTCTGTAAAGTCCTGAAAGAGAGAACTGTTTTGTGTCTTTGTATTAAGTGTTAACAACATTGTTAAATAAACTAAGATTTTTGTATCTCACAACCAACTCTGTGTTGCAGCTCTCAGTCCTTTACTTCGGCAAGCGGCTGGCAACTCCGAGCGGACGTCCCTTGAGTTGTAGCGCGCTCTTCCATCACGCACAAAGTCCAGTGGAGCCATTTTCATCCTTTACCTGGATGCGAGAATAAAAGGGCAGAATATCTGCAGAGTGCACCCGTAAGGCAGAATTAGTCTGTGCCACATCCCAAAGTTAGGAACCCAGCTCTCTGCGTGGTGGTGTTTTTGCCCTGAGGCAACGGCAGCAAGTTTTATTTTTATTTTTATTTTTATTTTTATTTTTATTTTTATTTTTATTTTTATTTTTATTTTTATTTTTATTTTTATTTCCCCCCCTCC